AGGCGAGCTCTGCCGCCGGCCGTCTCTGCACCCGAGCACGCGCAGCTGCTGCTCGCGGCCATGGCCTCCACTGCGTGCACCCTTCGCTGCCAGGCCCGGTGAGCTCTCCCGCCGGCCGTCTCCGCGCCCGAGCTCGCGCAGCTGCTGCTCGCGGCCATGGCCGCCACCGCGTGCGCCCTCCACTGCCAGGCCTGGCGAGCTCTGCCGCCGGCCGTCTCCGCGCCGAGCTCGCGCAACTGCTGCTCGTGGCCATGGCCGCCACCGCGTGAGCTCTCCGCTGCCAGGCCCGGTGAGCTATGCCGCCGGCCATCCCCCAGCCTCCGTCTCTCCAGCCACTGCTCGGGGCGGCGGCTTGCACACAAGCCCCTCATGGCGCGCGCGACGGCCGCGGGCGGAGCCCCATGGCGCGCAGCGACGGACACGGGCAGAGCCATTTGGAGGCTGATTCCAGGGACCCGATTGCTTTTTAAAAATGTTTGTAAGGGCTAATCCATAAAAAATCTATGGATGAGGCGCTGACATGTGGCCCTCACAAGTCAGTTAACAGTCAAACAAACGGTCAACCAAACGGTGCGTTTACTGGCGGGCCCGACCTGTCATAAATATGTTTAATTTTTTAACAAAGAGGATTTGGGGTTTTTTGAAACAGCCAACCCCTGACTTGGTAGGTATCAGCGAAAAAAATAAATTTGGTAGTTTTTTTGGAACCCTAACCTGTAAAGTAGTAGTTTTACGCTATTTACTCTTCCCCCATATGTTGTTAGCTCTTTTTGTTTTTTGTTGTGGAAGTATTTACGATACATGCACTGGAAATCTCCACAGCCCCAATCTGCAACCATGAAGAGTTTATGAAAAGTTAACTGTAGAACCATTCCCCATCAATTTGAAAAATAATGGCTTATTCTGTTTAGTTCCTGAAACCATAGTTCTTTTTCTTCTAGTTGAACAATGCCGGGTGAACAAGAAGCCTACATATTTTCTTCCTTTTGCATGCATCTGATCTTCACCTCGAGTTACTTACTTACTTCAGAATAGTTAGAAAGCAATGTGGTTGATTAAGATTGTTCTTCCTAACTTAAGCAATGTTACTGTCAAGTGCGTGTTAACTTGGACAAATATCAGCATGTTTCGATGCAGGTGAAGAGTCATTAATCACTAGCCGTAGATGGTGTAACTCATGTAGTACTTCCTCTGTAAACTAATATAAGAGCGTTTAGAACACTACTTTAGTAATCTAGACGCTCTTATATTAGTTTACGGAGGGAGTAATTAATACTACCCCCTTTCTATATTTTCGTTGTTGAACGAATGAAGTCCCTTCTGATCATAATAGCCTGATTAAACTGCTGCAAGTTCGATCCCACAGGTCAGCACGCGCGTTACTCGTGCGCTGCGCACTGATAGTTTCTTTCAGGTGAGCAGCACTTGTTCTGAAAGCTCCATCCAAAGGCCCCAGCTGAACCCAACTCCGTAGCCAAGGAGAAGAGCCACAAGATATGCATGGTCCAGGGCATGGTGCACTTATGTGGACACCCAACTAACCCTGACAAGTAAGCAGTCATTTTCCACTCAGTATTGATGCAGAAAATTCAGTTTAGAGCGTTTATTTTAGCCTGGATTCAAACCGTGCATGTGTATTTCATTTTCCTGCTTGTGTTTCTCGGAGTGTTTACCATTTATTGCTGGCAATTAGGATGTCCATTCCAAATTTCAGCCTCAGGAAAACCCCCCATCAGACAAATGATGAGTAGAGCCACTTGTATGGCTGAAAACATAGTAGATCTGGTCGAGAACCAGACCAGTACAAAACGGAAGAGAACAGCAAGTAGTCCAAGGCAAAGCAAGGACGTAAACAGTTCCTCTGTCAAATACTCCCTCTGTAAACTAATATAAGAGTGTTTAGAACACTAAAATAGTGATCTAAACGCTCTTATATTAGTTTACGGAGGGAGTACTAGCTAAATTACACAGCATCAATGTCATAGGGATGCAGAACAGGATTCCTAGACAAAGCACTGCATGGCTAATCTGTGTCTACTCATAGCTAGCTCCCCTTAAGAAACCAAGGCGTGACCCCTCCATGACAAAACCACTGCAGATGTTAAAACATGTAAATGTACTGTAGTCAAACTTGATGCATGCATGCATGTGGCTAAAGATCCTAGCAGACCTCTAAACAACGCCTGCAATCCAGGCTTAAACTATTAACAGAGGCGGCCGTATCTGTAACGGCCTAACTAACCTTACTTAGCCCTTGGAAGAACCAAGCAGTATTTTTCTTCTTCTGTCTGGTTAATAACATCTCTTTCCAAGAAGTTGCTCTGCAAAGGTTGCGCTTAGATTAGGCTTTGATGTGCAAAGGGAGTGAGATTAGATCAGGCCCTTGTGAGCTGCAAGTTGCTACTACTCTACCTGGCTGGCTCCATCCCTGGGCGCAGAGATTCTAGGCTACTTTGAGTATACAAATGCAAGCACCATGGCGGCCAGATTTGCACAGTAAAGGTACACGTGTGGCCTATGTGGCTATGTACCACCTACATACGCATGCATGGAATCCAAAGCAATGGTGTACACCTAGGGAGACAGGACTGCAGCGTGGGCGTTGCAGAGACGCAGAGCCCTCTTAACTGGAGTGGCTGGTCGTCCCGTCCGGTGAATGCACTGCCTGGATGGATGCATGGTCGTACTGAACTGAAGCTCATGACACCTGGTGCAGAGGTGCTGCAGGTTCGCGAGCTCATGTCACTCATGGCATGGCATCTTCCGGTGATCACAACGCCGGCCTGAACGGCGGTGATCAGTGTTCAGTGGTAGCCTATCATCATCCTGTAGCGTGCAGTGCATTAACTTGGACCTTCGGGTAGCCTATCATCATCCTGTAGGTTGTGACCCAGCTTAGCTTAGCCCATGATGCTTTGTGCTTTGCCTATTCACCTAGGGTAGCATGGTCCGGCTTGGCGGTTTAATTTAGGTGATGATTCTGCCTGGTAATGCGGTTAAACTACTCCATCTAGTTAAGGGCGATAAGGTGCAGGTCCAATCTACGTTCGCAGGTCCCTCCCTATGATTCTTTTTTACTTGATATTTTTCATCTTTGCCTTTAACAACTGCGCGTTAAGATGCACTACAGATTTTGCTAAACAACATGTATAATTGTGTGATGTTGCAGCCAACTCACAGTAAATTATTCTGAATCCATTGACGGCCAAACCCTGGGTTAGATGAAAACAACTGTAAAAGACAGTATATATGGTGCCTGTCTAATGCACTCGTCAACACTCCACAGGACGTGCATGCACATTAGTCAGGCTCTGGATCAGCTCGAGTTCTCGCGCCATAAAGTGCGTGCATAAACAGAAGTCGAAGTCGATCCAGCTCAGCAGCTCTCCAGGCTCCACGTCGCGGGGTTCACGTCGCAGGGAGAGGTGGCCACCTATTCCGGCGGACACGCACGCCTCGGGCGTCGTGTTAAAAGCCAATAACAGGTTAATTATCTACTAGCACTCTGATGGTATCCCTCTGCATGCAGCCTGCATCAGAACCGGTCTCTCCCCCTCTAACGTCTGGTGCTTACTACAGTAATTTTTCCCTCAGGTCCACCCCACCTTCGGGCAAGGTAATCATGGATTTGTGTCACTTCACGTTTATCTTGCAATTGGGACACGTAGTGATACTCTGTCCTTGTACACGCCGATCTGAAATTTTGTTGAGTGCAGTCGACTCACTGTGAGCCCCGAGTCCTGACCAGTGATTTCTCACAGTGAATCAGGTGGGTGTTGTCTGCATATAACTCAATGCAGGGTGACGAAGAAGTTGGAACTCGCAGCAGCGGCAGTGAACTCTGACTGGCCACAGTGTCTGTGATAACCTGAAATCTGCATCTATATAGTACCCTGATTACGAGTTCGACAGCGCATTCATAACGAACGGTGGCACGAAAATGTTCGACGGCCGTACGTACGTGCGATGGATGGATGGATGTTCTTGTTTGACAAGACTAGCTCGATTCTCGTTCGAATCCAAGCAAGGCAGGTGGTGGGGAGCCACGAACAATCAAAAGAAAGAAAAGGTCCTTTTTTTTGGCTCGTGATGTGTGAGCAACTACGTCCCCGAGCAAGCTCGCAACAGCTGCTGCCTTGTCTGACCAACATACTGCCCGCAGAAACTTGGCAAGATTTCTTTTTGGGCTTTGCTAATGTTCTGGAAATTTTTTTTTGGCATCAGTCGATTCTTGATGGGAGAGAAGGCAAAGTCCGAGGCCGAGGCGGCGATCCCGAGAGCCCGAGGCGCGTCATCTGCAAGGCCGAACTGCAGGCGACCTAGAGTCGGGGACGAGATTTGATGGGTTTAAATGTGGGGGCTCGCTGAGGTCGGAACTGTGGCGGGGTATGGAGGGATAGCTGGGGATGACCGAGGGTATGTTCGAGCATGGGTTTGATGATTTGCCCATGCTTGTCTCAGTGACAAGTGGCCCTCGCCCCACCCGTCATTTTGAGGGGGAGGCGGGACAATGATTGAAGTTAGTAGAATAAAAGTGGGGCAAAGGAGATACATCTATTTGAGCATCAACTAATTCCGGACGAAGGAAGGACGGAGGAAGTATTACATTTTGAATTTATAGAGTACCGGATTATGCTGTTTCCATCTCTCTCGTGTACTCCACTAAACCTTCTAGGCGTGCTCGAGGAACATATTCTTATTTTATGATAAATTTAGTCAACTCGATCGATCGATCACCAGCCGTAGCGACCTAAATAAAAGGCAAAAGCTGGAGGTGGGGAGCAGAGAGACATGCGTATCCTACGGATCACGGCACGCAACATCTAGTAGGTACACTTTTGTTAATCCTCATCCGCATTTACAAAACCCAGCTGCAGGCAAGGCAGCAGGCAGCAGCAAATTACAACAGGAAACAGAAGAGGAAAACAAACAAGTGTACACTAGTGGTGAGCATGCGGCCGGAACGTTTCATTCGATCGGCACGTACAGCGGCACACGACCTACAAGATGCTGGTGAACATCTGGCTGACCAGGTTCGAGTACGACGCCGGCGCGGCGCTGTCGGCCGCGGACGCCGGCTGCTGCTGCTTGACGACGGCGGGGGCGGCGGCGCCCACACGGCGGTCGCGCTCCTTGACGAGCTCGTGCGCGAACCGCTCCAGCTTCTCGGCGTTGGTCTGCTCCGCCAGCTTCTTGCCCCGGAACAGCACCGACTCCACGTTCTTCTGCGACAGCATCTCCTCCGCCGCCACGCACCCCTTCGCCGCCGCCGCCGCCGCGCATCTGCCGCCCCGCGGCGACCCCATCGCCTGGATGCGGGTGTAGTTGCTTGTCCTGCTATGTCCGAACGCCATGGCCACCGCTTGATCCACCTGTCGGAGAAAAGTCGGGGGAAGAGTTCGCAGTGAGCACGGAGAACAAGATGCATGCAAGAATGGACCTCGCTTGCAAGCGAAGGTAGAGAATTCTAGTGCGTTGGTATTGTCGTCGTACCATGTCGGACACGCCCTCGGCGGCGATCCTGACGATCTCGGACGTCGAGGCGCCGCCGGTGGCACCGGCGGCGGGGCGCTGCTCGCCCTCGCCGCTGCCGATGGAGATCACCAGCAGGTCCTCCACGCCGGAGGCCAGCGGGAACTCGCGCTTGTTGTTGAGCACGTGCGTGATGGCCGCCGCCGTGGGGTTGCCGAGCGCCACGCCGCCGCCCACGGCCACGATGCGGGTCGACCCGTCGCACGACCGCACCTCCACCGCCGAGGACGAGCGGTCCGAGCCGGCGCAGGTCGCGGCGCACACGTCGCGCAGGCGGAAGTCGTAGGCCGGCTTCTCGACGGCGTCGGCGCGGGAGAACAGGAACGGCGCCCCCGTGGCCAGGTCGTAGCACGGGACGAGCACCGGCCGCGCCGTGTCTCGCAGTGTCAGGTCGCCGAACACCTTGCGGAAGGCGGCGGCGCCGGCCGGGCGCCGGAGCAGCGCGCGGAGGCTCCCGGAAGAAGACGACCAGCCGCGGCGGAGGCTGCGGACGAGGAACGCGAGTGCGTCCTCCGCGGAGTAGAGCGGCCGCGCGTCGTCCTTGCCGCGCGCCACCAGCATGGCCGCGAGCACGCCGCCGGCGCCGGAGCCCGCTGCCACGTCGAAGAAGTCCGCCAGACGCGCCTTGGGGTCCCCAGTGCGCCGCCGCAGCGACGCCTCCAGCCTCACCAGCGCCGCTCCGGCGAGCAGCCCGTCGGCGGCGCGCCCCCCGCCGTCGATCGACAGGATGCACACCTTACCGGCCTGCGCCCGCGGGGGCGTCGCCTTCCCAGACGCTGCCGGTGTATGCGGCGAGCCTCCGCCGAAGAGAAGCTTGGGGTCGTCGTAGCCGAACAGGAACTTGCTCTCGAGGATGGAGAAGATCTCGTAGGTGAGCTTGTCCACGTCCATGGCGGCGGCCGGCCCCACTGGAGCCGCTTCCATCCTCTGGTCGACGCCGGCCGGAGCGCGCGCACCAAGCTGAGAGGAGGGGTTCTGCGTTCTGCTGTGTGCGCACGGGGGCGGGCGTGGAGAGCAGAGCACCGAGCAGTTGCCGGCATTTTATAGTGGCGGGAAGGGAGAAAGAGGCGTGGGTTCGTGGCGTTGACTCGTCCGGCCCACGGTGGCGCGAGCTGAGACCGGACTCCAGTAATTTATTTTCCTTATATACTACTCGTACTACTTTGTACAGTAATTGGTGTGACAAGGATCGTGACTGTCAGACCAAGTGTGAGGACTCGCTCAAAAAAGAAAAAGTGTGAGGAGGATTGTGAATGGTGATTTTTTTCTTCAAAAATGCTAAACCTACGGGTTTACTACGGCATACTTTAGTGATCTAAACGCGCTCTTATATTTCATTTTGAAGGGAGTACTAAACTTCTCTCCTGAATGTCGGATTGGGGATCACTTTCCCAACTGATAGCCAACCACAAATTGGCACGTGCACTATTTCGTGGTCAACCAATAATACCCCTATAAAGCTCTGTATGTGTAGTATTATTATTAAAATGTTTTCTTTTACGAGGAGTGAGTTGTTTGATCGATGTCCAATGTGACATGGAAAGAGCTCGAATGGCGATGGGTCGGGTTTTGAACAGGCCCAGCGCTGCCACACTATATACAAGCCTCCATTTCGCATCGACCCTCATCAAGATGTTCATGGATAGAAATTTATGTTTGTGATGTTGTGCATATACCCAATGGTTATCCACATCCATGAAGTACCGATCGGAAATAACCCTTCTTTTTTCTTTTTTTTTTGCGGAAAAGGAACTTTTCATTCATCAGCCATGGCGATTACATTCAGAGATGGCGATGCTAGCTATTTCCACACGAGAGTTTTGAAGCCAATAGGTCGTGCGCTGTTACGAGCGTCCCATACAAGCAAGGGTATGACTTACTACATTTGCATATCTGCTAATTTTATCTAGACTAATGTTCCTTTGATAAGCTAGAATCCTTCTAATCTAATTGACTTGGTTCATATACCTCGAGCGCTCAACATCTTTAGATTGCACCATCTTCAACAACTCAACGCAGTCCGTCTTCACAACCAACGTCAAGTTGGACCAGTGAAGCGCAAGTCAAAGCCCTTCGTCCATGGCCATCATCTTCGCTTACAGTGGATCACCACAATTAAAGAGCACCCGCATCGCGGAGAAGATGACTGCTCCTTCATGATCCTGTAGGATCATCCCAGCCCCGGCTGTACCATCAGTGGCAGAGCTAGAGAAGAAATGTTGGAGGAGTGAAAGGCAAATACATCAATCTTGAGGGGGGCAAAGACTATACTTTTTCTAATTAAGCACTTCTAAAAAATAATTCTTCAGACAATTTGTCAAGGTTGGGGGGGGGCATGGCACCTGCAGGAACACATGTAGCTCTTCCAGTGTGTACCATACTCTTTCAAAAAAGCACCATCTATATTCAGTTTAGCATAATTCACATCAATGGACTTCCGTTGTGTTGTTGTTGTTGTTGTTGTTGTTGTTGTTGTTGTTGTTGTTGTTGTTGTTGTTGTTGTTGTTGTTGTTGTTTCATGTGTGTACTTTGACATGCTTCCTAAGTAATCGATCACCTGCTTACCCTTCATTTGTGTCCTAGCAGATAGACTCGCTCGGAGGAACTTGCAACATCCATCGTTTTGTGTTCTTTTTTTATCAGGTAGATGAGCATGTTAGTCATCTATTTCTTAGATGCTATTTCACGCGTGAGATTTGGTACAATATGTTGTTGCCGGTTCGGTTGCATTGATAGGTTCACACCTGACGCTATTGTGACTATCAAGGAGTGGTGGCCTCCAGTGAGTTCGGCTGTCCCAGGTCGCAACTAGAAGAAATTTAATGCCCTCAAGTGATATAGTCTTTGCATATTGTGACTCGAAAGGTACAATGGAATTTTGACAAGGTGGCAGTTATGCCATCTTCGGTCATGAAGTGACCAAGGTAGGAGTTTTCTATGTGCAAGTTGGTTAGAACTTACGGAGTAGCAGACACCATGAGTTAGCACTTTAAGTTGTGGGTGGTGGGGTGTGTACTTGTGTGTTTGCACCTCATGTACATATCATAACTTTGTATGTTTATTCTTCTCTCCTTTATACAAAAGATAAGCCGCTAGTTGTTCTTGAAAAAAAACTCAAAAACAACATATACATGAGCTTAGCAATTTATTCATTTGACAACCACTACATATTATGAAAAGAGAGATAGGATTTACAAGTATATATGTGATACATCTATGATGACCACATCTAATATGAAATAAATAAGGCGGTTGATGAGAAACACATGGGCGGGCGATTATACTCACACCTTCCACATGACTAATCGGGTTTACATGAAGTGTTGTAACCATAGAGTCGGATACCCATGCATATCCAAGGCACCATTTTGCGTAGCCGGGTAGAGACATAATGAAGCAGGGCATTATTCGCCGAGTTGGGAATGACCAGTCTACGGATATCGAGGCTGATAATTGCCCCAAAAGAGACTTATCGATGACCAATTGTATCTCTTGTTGTGGACCCACATGTGAAGGCATCTGAGTTATTATCACCAACCACAGCCTCGTGGAACGAAAATGTGGTTCGGAGTGACTTGTTATCCATTGATGCTGATGAGATACTCAGTACAATAGTGTGCACTCGAAACACTACTAATTTTTGGGCATGGCATCCAGACAAGAAAGGTTGATTCACTGTTAGCTCGGCACACAAATTTATGATCAAGACCAAAGTCCATAGAGCAAACTGGATTGAAGGGAGGAGTGGATCCTCCGATAATGTGAGGGAGGAGAAGTCATGGACTTCGCTTTGGAATATCATCATTCCATTGAAGATCGGTATTTTTGTGGAGACTAGGCCGACATTCCCTACCGACCACTGATGTGCTACACAATTGGAACATGGCACAGGCTAACCAATTCCCACTATGTGGAGGGGAAGACTCGTGGCAGCATGCACTTCTTTCATGCACCATGGCCAGATGTACATGTGCACTCTTAGATACAGAACTAGTGGACTGGATGGCAGATAACAAAGAAGCTGCAGCAAAGAACTGGATCTTCGAACTTCATGAAATTATGTGCCATGACAACTTCAGTAGGATGGTTGTGACCTTATGAGCTATATGGTATGCAAGGCAGAAGGCTATTCATGAGTCAATCATGGAAAGCCTCATCAAACCTATTCATTTGTCAACTCCTACATCAATGATTTGATGTCGCTACCAAAGCCAAAACCACAACTCAACATCGTCACGAGATAAGCGCTTATACTTCCCAACGCTGGCTATGTTGGGGATCGTTGCAGAAATTAAAAAATTTCTATGCATCACCAAGATCAATCTATGGAGTAACTAGCAACGAGAGAGAGGGGAGTGCATCTTCATACCCTTGAAGATCGCGAGACGGAAGCGTTGCAAGAACGCGGATGAAGGAGTCGTACTCGAAGCGATTCAGATCGCGGTGGATTCCGATCTTAGCGCCGAACAGCGGCACCTCCGCGTTCAACACACGTGCAGCCCGGTGATGTCTCCCGTGCCTTGATCCAGCAAGGAGGAGGGAGAGGTTGAGGAAGAGGGCTCCAACAGCAGCATGATGGCGTGGTGGTGATGGAGTGGCAGTACTCCGGCAGGGCTTCGCCAAGCTCTTGCGGAGGAGGAGAGGTGTTGGGGAGGGGAGGGGCTGCGCCTTGGATGTGGTGCTGCAGCCCTCCCCTCGCCCCTCTATTTATAGGAGAAGGAGGAAGGGGGGCAGGCCCCTCTAGATGGGATCTAGAGGGGGGCGGCGACCAAGGGGGGAGGGGGCTTGCCCCCCAAGCAAGGGGAGGCCCCCCCTTAGGGTTCCCCCAACCCTAGGCGCATGGGACCTAGGGGGGTGGCACCCAACCCTCCAAGGGGCTGGTTCCCTTCCCTCTACAGCCCATGAGGCCCTCCGAGACAGGTGGCCCCTCTCGGTTGACTTCCGGAACCCCTCTGGTGGCCCCGGTACGATACCGGTATGCCCCCGAATATTTCCGGTGACCGTATGACAACTTCCCATATATAAATCTTCACCTCCGGACCATTCCGGAACTCCTCGTGACGTCCGAGATCTCATCCGGGACTCCGAACAACATTCGGTAATCACATACAAATCTTCCTAATAACCCTAGCATCATCGAACCTTAAGTGTGTAGACCCTACGGGTTCGGGAATCACGCAGACATGACCGAGACAGCTCTCCGACCAATAACCAACATCGGGATCTGGATACCCATGTTGGCTCCCACATGTTCAAGGATTCAAGTAATCCCGTATACAATTGCCTTTGTCAATCGGTACGTTACTTGCCCGAGATTCGATCGTCGGTATCCCAATACCTCGTTCAATCTCATTACCGGCAAGTCACTTTACTCGTTACATAATGCATGATCCCGTGACTAACCACTTAGTCACATTGAGCTCATTATGATGATGCATTACCGAGTGGGCCCAAAGAGACCTCTCCTTCAGACGGAGTGACAAATTCCAGTCTCGATTTGCGCCAACCCAACAGACACTTTCGAAGATACCTATAGTGCACCTTTATAGTCACCACGTTGTGACGTTTGGTACACCCAAAGTACTCCTACAGTATCCGGGAGTTACACAATCTCATGGTCTAAGGAACTAATACTTGACATTAGAAAAGCTTTAGCAAACAAACTACACGATCTTGTGCTATGCTTAGGATTGGGTCTTGTCCATCACATCATTCTCCTAATGATGTGATCCCGTTATCAATGACATCCAATGTCCATAGTCAGAAAACCATGACCATCTGTTGATCAATGAGCTAGTCAACTAGAGGCTCACTAGGGACATGTTGTGGTCTATGTATTCACACAAGTATCACGGTTTCCGCTTAATACAATTATAGCATGAATAATAGACAATTATCATGAACAAGGAAATATAATAATAATC